GTAACTGGTTAAACTCCAAAGAAAACCTCCCATGAGGTCCACCTGAACCAGAAACACTCTTATTTCGGGTGAGAAGCAGAGCAGAGAGGGTGATCCCAAATTGTGTCCATTGCTAAGAAGGGAATTCTAGTAACTGCAGCGATCTCGGAGAAGGTGAATGGAAAAGAAATTACTTGGAATGTAATTCCAAACAGCGAATGTCCAAATACGCACGTTAATGCCATTTGAAACAAATGGCTCAGTGTCAGGCTAGAAAACATTTATTTTTTTTCCCACGATCCAAAACTCCTACTATTTCTGAAGACATGTGCTTTTCCTTGCTGCGGCTAAAAGATCACTTCTTTCACAATTACTGAGGAGTCCTTCCGAACAAATTGTTTTACCTGCTGCCACAGACTCCCTGCTGCTCAAATCTATCTGCTAATGCACTTGAAGAGTTTATGTTCCCAAAGCAATCCTAGTTATACATCTCTCCCCCACGCTAACAAAAAGCAGATTCAAACAAAACACTATTTATCCTGGATGATCCTACCGTACGTAGGAAGGCCCTCACTCCTTTAGCACGCAGCTTCGTAATGGCCACGTCACAAAAGACTAACGGGCAAACGGTTTCTTTGCAAATCATCAGTGTTCAACTTCAGGCAAGCTCATGATTCAACAGCAGATCTAAACTCCCACGTATTTTCAATTATTCCTAGCACAGCTGTTAAATAAACACTGTCAGCTGTAAGGCTCCAGGCATATCTTACACTTCATATTCAGTTTATGGATTTTCTCAAGGAAGACTCCAGAGGTGAAGAGCAGGAAGAGAACTCTTCATTTCTGGAAAAGTTTTCAGAGCTGAATAAAATTTCGTAGTAGGGTGCTTTGTAAGCTTGCCATATTATCACCAGTGGTATGGTGGGGTTTGTGGTGGTTTTTTGTTCCTCTGGGGATAGATTAAATTTACTTTACACTTACCAAGCAGCTTAGTTGCTCTCAACTTAAATTTTAATTGATTTTCTTAAGACAACGCTGACAGTTTCCACCACCAGACTGATCAGTTCTCTTTCATTATTAGATTTGCGTGGAAGAATAGAAAGAACAGCTAAAATATTCTAGAGTATAATTGTTTCTAACAAAAGAGCATTTACAAATGACAAACAATTTACCATTCACCTTCAACTATTGTACCCGTTGTCTTCTAATTCATTCACACCAGCAAAAGGAGAATGGTTCAGGAAGCCTTCAATAGGCAAACTCAAGTACAGAAGCAAAACCAGGATAAGCCACACACTTCAGAATGTCTGGACCCAAGCAAGACCCAATGTCAACAAATAAAAAAAAAGAAAGTTAAAACCAGAGTAATCCCAATAGAGAAGAAATTTAATTTTTATTCTGTCGAGTAAGCAGCAATCAAGGTGATACAAGGCACTCACATATTTATTACTCAAGATTTCAGTGCTAACTGCCGAGACACCCCGCTCCCCAGGAGGTTTTCATCGTGTACTTACTGGTAACGGCGGGCTCAGCAAGGCCAGTTTGAAAAGATCGTATTACTTTCCCGGGTTTGGTACATAAAGGTCTCCCTACGGACGCATGTCTCACTGATTTCTCTCTAAAATCAAGGGCCAATTCCACAGATTATTATTCCCCAAAGCAATCATAACTTCCCCTGCACTGTCAATACTAAAATACATTCCACTTCTATATTGAGTTTTCTCGAGCTGTCTAGTGCCTCATTACTATAAAATGTAGAATCCAGTGAAATGTAACTCTATCTCAATCCATTAAAGCTCCTTCAAAGCAGTGCAAGAATATGGAAAGTGACAGCTTCATTGACTTTTCCCTTTCCAGGCTGATGGCTCCAAGTGATCAGCCTATTAAGTGCTGAACTCTAACCCACTGCAACTCCTCAGCTAGAAACACCTTGAGAAAAGAAGTTACTGGGACTCACAGCCCAGGTCTGAGGGAAACTTTGCCTTCATTCACACAAGATAAAAATCTTGTAAAACACTGGTCATAGAATGCTAGACTGGCCTAGGCTGGAAGGGACCTCAGCGATCATTTAATCCAACCTCCCTGTCATGGGCAGGGACGCCTCTCAACTAGATCAGGCAACACGTGGGGACCAAACGGGGATCGAACCTGCGACCTTGGTGTTATCAGCACCACGCTCTAACCCACTGAGCTAACAATAAGATGACCTCCTCCAGGTTTTAATGACTGCAGCCAATAAATTTCCATTCAGGACTGCAAGCAGCACCCTCCATCCAGCCCCGCAGCCCAGACTGGAGGTTGGCAGCAGGACTAACCCTGACCTGACAGAAATTGGGTTCCAGAACTTGCAGGCTCCACTTTAACCCTCTCGCCTGATCAATATCTTCACTCCCAAACAGGGAAGGCCACGTCCCTGCTCCAAGCCTGATGATGCAGCCACCTTGAACCTCACACAAAATACCGTTCTAGAGGAAGTTTCTTTTCCCTTCCCAGCTTTAAGGGCAGGTAAATAACGAAAGGCCGAAGGTATCTGCAAAAGGTTTACAAAGATGTGGCGCACGGAGAGATTTTGAGTGTTTTCAAAGACAGTTTCTTTCTAAAATAGGGTAACAAAATCAGCCTTTGATTGAAACTGGAAATTACATGCAAAATATTGTCAGAAAGGTAACTACTTGGGATATATAGATACATTTATGGTACCATTTCACTGAGTTCCCAAAAACCTCATTTTTCATTATTTTCTTAATACTTGATACACAGAGTTTGCCTTGATTTCCCTTTTAGTCATGAACAATGTTTCAGCAACATTTTGAAATGCAGCTCTCCTGATTTTAGGGCACGAAATGCAAATAACTATTTTAGTTAAAATTTATTACTCACCATTTCTAGATCAGTTTTCCTAAAATAGGCAGGAACTAATTTAAGGGAGGAACACCCCACCTCCCTCTACTTGCTGGTGTTAATAATACACTGAAATATCTCAAAATCGTGGAGAAAAAAATATTGGACCTTATACTGCTACAGAATGTAATCATGAGAAACCTCATTCAATCACCTGCTGTAAAATTTCAAGTGTAAACAAGCTGTTTGCACAAATCAAAAGCTGTTAATGTCACGGAACATACTTGCACTTCTCTTACTTCAAAGACTGTGTGGCTATAGACTCCATTACTATTTTCTGTAAGTATTACTTCAAGGCTTCCAGCCTATTCCTAGAGTCTTACATATTTCCCTGCTGGCTCCTGACTCAATTATTAAGTCCTTCCGTCAAGAATTAGATCAGTCGGCAGACTTTGTTGTTGCAATTGCTACTTTTCTCTAGAACTGTAGCAAACACACACATTTACTCTTGCCCTCTGAAACAACTGTGCATAAAAAACAGCCTTGAGAAATGTGAAATACTCTTTAAGAAATTTTACAACTTCCTTACACAAAGAGTAATCAATATGTTTTGTAACTTTTTTTTCCCTTTTAAATTGTACTGTTTAAATGCAAATGAAAGGAGGCATTTAGTTGGCATGATCCTGCCTACTGCAAACTTCTGGTTCACATCAGGATTGAGGTTTTTCCAAGAAAAACTGACACCATACTTTGGTCTGCATCACGGAGCAGTCTCAGAGTGCGTGGAACGGGTGGGTGACTTCTTTTGGATGAAACAGCAGCAGAAGAAGCACCACCTGCTAATGAGCTCCAGTCCATACAACCCGGCTAGAGCGAACCCAAGGAAGCGAGGCCCCCAGGCTCACTGCATAAGCACTGGGTCCCCAGCACCACTTCTGGGCCAGCCTGCTTGCGAGTAACGAAGAAGAGGTGATTTTAACAGATTAGAGAAAAAAGAAAAAAAAAAGCAATCAACTGTGCTTTATCAGGATTTACCCTCAGAGCTCGCTGAATAAAACTTTGAAAGCAGTGCCCTTTAGCAAATGAACGAGTACGCAATTGTCTTCCTATAAATTCAATCAACTGAAATTGCGTTTGTGTTACCAAGAAACTTCATGCCAACTTTTAAATCTAGACTGGTGATACTCAGATCAGTTTCAACAAGCCTAAGAGAAGTCCTATCTTGGTTTTAATTCGGACCCCTTCCCCAACACTCATGGCAATACTATTCACTGAATGCACTACTATTAAAATTAGGTAAAGATGATTGCAAAACCAGTTTTAGATTAAAAAAACTCTACGCTGCTTTCTTTTAAGACTTAAAAGAATAGCCTGTCTGTTAAAAGAACCACACATACACTACACATCAAACAACGCTCCGCCTTTAACAAAATACAAATGATCTCATTACTAGAACACTGACAGTAAAGAGAATAGACAATCAGAGTCTGGCTCTATTTAAGTTGCAAGATAAACAAGCCCTGTCTTACAGTATCTGTACTCAGAAACATGTATTCCATTATTCTTCAAGCCAGCCCAATTTTTCAGTCATCAGACACACTAATCAACAAAACAGTGCTCCACCTCATCAAAAAACAATGGGGGAGGTATAAAACAGTCAGAGGTGGGGAGGCAAGAAAATCAAAACAAAACAGGAACTCATAGAAACAAACTAAAACCCCAGCATGTTTGGGGGTTTTGGCTGTTCATTTGTTGTGGTGGTTTTTTTCTCAGAAAAAGGAAGAAACTCTCCCAGGTTAGAAATAAAAGAAAAATATCCAACTGCCTGGAGCCAACACTTCAGTCCAGGCAGCCCTGTCTGTGGTGACCAAGTCCCAGAGTGACCATGTTTGGGCTCAAAAAGAGGAGGACTTCATGCCTTCTGAATCAGAAGCTTCCCAGAGGGATGGACACTGCACACAATCACAGAATCAATCATAAAATCATAGAACGGCCTAAGCTGGAAGGGACCTTAGAGATCATTTTAATCCAGCCTCCCTGTCGCCAGGGACGCCACCTCTCGACTAGATCAGGCAACACATGGGGACCGAACGGGATTCGAACCCGCGACCTTGGCGTTGTTAGTGCCACACTCTACTGACAGAGCTCACCAGCCCCACAAGTCAGCCCAGGGCACTTACCCAGCCCCAGGCGAGCTCCTACAAAGACATTAAGTGTTTTCAGGAGGCCCTTCTCACACTCGTCCCCAATCAATCTGCACTGGAACTGAACAGTGCCGATGTTGTGTGGGACAGTCAACACCAGGCAAAAGTTACTCACTATCCCTCTTGGCACTGAGCGTGAGTGAGGATGGGGTAACGGAAGCTAAGGGAATGACAGCGGAGCAATCCGGATACACACGGAGCGATTCCTGTTCTGCCTTGTTTGCTAATCACCACAGATCTGAAGAGATTCAGTCAGGGCCAGGCACGGCTTTAAGTCCACCACTAGTGATCTCACAAGCCCTAACGAGGCTCCCAAAAGCACTGAGTTTCTTTCGCTTCACACTGGGTGCTGACACACATACGCAGATCTATGAACGTCAATAAATTTCACTTACAATAAAGGTTTCTGGTTCCTTCTTTGTTTGAAACCACAGAAGTATTTTTTGCAATCCCACCATGCTGTCTTCCAACAGTTAAGAGTACAACAGTAAGGAATGATTTCATCATTACTTTGTCAACGACTGATTGTCTAAATATTGCCTGTAGCTAATTCACTAAAAATGATCCCGCGAGACAGCCAATAAGCCCACCATTTAAAATCTACACAACCGACTACACTTTTTTAAAGACAGACATACCGAGATACCCTCACTCACCCACAGCCAAGGTGCCATCGTACAACTGAGCCTCGGAACCAACCACTCGCCTCATACGCACCCACTACCGCTCCCTTATTTCAAAAGAAATAAGGAATGTGTTTCACATAAAACCCAATTATAACAGCTTTTGTATTTAACATCATACTTACAACTTGGACAAGCTGAAAACCACTAATAATTTTCCTTCCTAAGATGTTCTACCTACTTTATATGAATTAACTTGTCTTTCACGTTCAGCTCATGTTCATCTTCCATTCTTGAACAGAGAGAGGGACAGATAATCCATGGAAGTAACACATAAAAGAATATCCCAGAGGGAATTTAATAACAATTTAAGAGGGAAGAGCTTAATAGTTCCCCTAACGAAGATGAAACGTGGGCAACAGGTCAAGAGGATGTTTGATCCTACAGAGCTAATTGGTCCACCGGCTTGTTTGAATTACTGGTATCTCCTCAATGCTACAGAAACTATGAGCAAAATGGATTAAATCAGGAGACGGAATCCTGGTATGCAGGGAAGTAATGGAAATCCCAAGAGAATTACAACATGAAGAGGAACGTTGTAACAACCTTGAAGCTCGAAAAGTAAAAGTATTCTTGCAAAAGTTTTTTGCTAACTTCTGTAACACAAAATCATGAGTCACAGTTGGCCCAAATCTTCTTAAATTGCCGTTAATAAAGACACTGCCATGGTAATTCGGGGAAAAAGCTCACCTCTGTTTCTAAGTACCACTTTCTATTACCTGCTATTTACAGAATGGCAGGCAGCCAACAAAATCTGCAGTAGAACTCTACAGCCTCACTTGGCTTGTAAGTAATCTTATTTTCTATCTCTGAAAAGCACACCGCATTGTCAAATTAGCTTTCCCCTTGCTTCAACTGGCAATTTATTACTTCAATCTTCTTAAGTGTTTAAAAATAACCATTAAAATCCCTGTTCAGATTTCTCTAAATGAAAAGGTACGCGCACACAGCACTGTCTCACAAGAATGGAGTTAGTCACATACGTATTTTCAACAGCTACGTTTGCAGCGAAAGCAGCTTGGATGCAGAACATATTCAAAAGTTTTATACTGCCAGGTGGAACATCAGAGAGGTACCTTCCCTCTTTCAGTGCTACACAAAAAAAAAAAGAAAAAAGGACAAAATGTCCCAATGATTAAGAGAGATTCTGAAGAGCAGATAGCTAAAGGGAAAGAAAACACAATGGAAAATAGAAGGTTATGAGATTGAGGAGCTTGCTGACCTACTACACATCTCAAAAGGACGCCAAGGTAAAGATTCTGCAGAAAGGCTAAACAGCTTCTTACACTTCCGGGTTTACTGAAGAATTATTTACCCAAGACATAACACATTCAAGGTGAAGAAGACACCCTGTCAGGTTGTGTTATCAGGAGAGGACCTGCTGGAACAAACTGATCATTAGAGTAGCAAGCGCCAGATGGTTACGTTCTGACAGGATTTTAATCCAGCGGTAGGCTTTAATGACCACATCGTAGCGGTTCGGACGCCCGATGCTTGCCAGCCAGAGGGCAGAAACCCCTGCCAGAAGCACTAGAGGCAATTTGCGGAATCACAGGCACACCACCTTTATTTCAGGCTCAGCATTTCACACAAACTGTGTCAGAACTAAATATGCACAGGAAAAAGCAGCTTCCCAGCAGCTAAACAACAACCGTACTCAGTTGATTAAAACCCCAGAATGCGCTATAATCTCCGGGATCGATTTATTGTATTAACAAGTGGTACTTGTGACCGAGCGGCAACAGGAACACATGGTTACCACAAATATAAGCTGTAGTTCCTACTGTAACACCACCCAAGGACAGACTACGTTGTGCCGTAAAAGAAAAATTGTTTTCATTTCCCTTAATCCTGATATATATACATACACAAGCCCATACACATATACATATTACTTTTTACAGCGGGTGTGAAGGAAAAAGGATATTACATGGAGAGGTTGTATATCTTTTCAGTAAACTGGTAATCAAGTAATTCTACCTTTAGCTTACGTTCCGCAATAAAACAAACAGGTGATATTTTATGCAAATAGGAATTCTACTGAAAGGTACTTTATGAACTTCTGGGCTGAAAAAAATATTCAGCGAATGAAGTCTACCTATGTTCAGAGCCTCCTCCCATCACGTAATTCCTATCCTAAAGAAAAATATAAACATGAGACCAGCAAAGGTCTCTGCACTCTGCAGGTAATCCTAAGTCTAAGATACACTATTAATCGATTTAAGCACATACTACATTTACATCAAGCAATTTAAGAATATGCAGTTTGCCACCAGAGTTTACAATTTTCCATCTCTCATATGAAAGATGAATAAAGCACATTACGATGAACGTGCTTTAACAAGACCACATACACCTCACCCTGGGTCAAGGAGCACTGGCATGTTGGGGACTTATATGTGCAATAAATCTTCAGATGCAGAAATCCAAGAGAAATCTACAATAAAGAAGTTGATAGCCAATACACTGCACGGTACTGAATAGATGTTGAATTAATTTTAACACCAGTATTTTAGCTTAACATCACTTAACGGAGCCATGACTCACTCCTTCAACACTTTCTACAGGTCATCACTAACATATTCCAGTCACCAAGAACCTGGAAGCACAAATCCACTAAGGAGTCAAGGTGAGAAAAACAAATAATCAAGCCTCCACTTCCACACTGGACTCCGCTTCTGAGCGGCTAAAGAAGTGCGAAGGAGCAGGATCAGCCTCAGCCATGTGTCTGATTAGAGAATGAAAAAACTTGATGCAGCCAGAGTATTAATAATGGAATAAGGAAGCTTTTCTGGCGGGAGGAAGGAAGAGCATTTCTAAACAAGCTGTGCCCATCCTGGGATTTAATTGGATGTGACAGGGATAGTTTGCAAAAGACTCATAGATGCTAGAAACTAGGCCTTTGTTACAAACAGCCTGTTACCAGAAAGCTTATTTTACACTAATAACCTTTGTTCTGTTTTCTTTCAAGCCAGAAGCTTGGCCTAGTTTGAAGCTAGTTTACCTTGAGCGTATTTTACTATTGGCATTACTACACATGGCATAGATAGCAAAGACTAACACAGAACTGTGCATATTCCAAAACATATTTCTGGAAAAATAAATTTAACCCTTGACCAGTATTTAACAGGTAGGGCAGCAAAGTGAAAATTAATGTGTTAACACATAAAACTCAAAGACTCCTAAAGACTTTGTCCAGAACCCTGCTTCTGGTAGATATCTGAAATCCCAGTCTGTCAATAAGGATCATGTTACCAGAACCATTCTCCGTATAAAACACTGTCCCGTACTGTGTGCCAGCACCCTGCCTACAGGTAAACCCAGTCTCTGTCAGAAAAAGTTAGATTAACGACACATGACTCTTAGCTCGGAAGTTTTTGCTATTAATTAAAAAGGAACATGAATTAATACTATTATATGGTCCAGAAGAACCTAGGAAAAGTAAAAGTAGATGTCATCGCAGTCTGCAGTATGTTTTCAAGTAGAACTTCCATTCCAAAAGTTTAGAAAAAAGCAAGATCCTTTTATTTTGCTAGATAGTGCTACACTGCCACCTGCAAAACGAACTGCAAATGTAAATATTACAGTAAAGCTACATTAATTGTCCTGAGCTGTATAATTAGGCTTGTAAATCAACCATGCTCTGACTATAGAGTATTTTACCTGCCTAACCACTACAACTAACTTTACGGAAGCCACTCTCTTATATTCACTGTAGAGCTTTCACTGCAGACAATGGCTTGATTTTCCCCACCCTGTAGTCATTTTCTATTATTTAGCCAGATGTAGACACAATTCAGCACTGGGAGAAAAACTGTGTCTACAGTATTAGGCCCCTGCCAACAGCCAAGGTGAAGCAGGAAGACAGCAGAGGCCAAGTGCAATGTTACAAATTGTTTGTGGATCTGACGTCATGTGCATATAAAAATGCAAGCCCTTGCCTCATACCGTTTGCCTCAGACAGCCCTCCGGTGCCTAACCAGCAATCTGTTACTGTATTGAAATATCCTGGTGTAATGAACTCCATAACTCGTAAAAATGAGAACAGCCACCTCTTGTGCTTTAGTTTTGCTTCTAGTTGGCTTGGATAAATTTCGTAAATTAGCAAGAAATTTCTCAACAAACTTCACTTTCCTGTGTTATTTTCTTCTGGCTTGATGCACTTATACCCTGACTGTATTTCTACAACTCTCACTGTTATTATAGGTGGTTATTACCCAAAAACTAAAACAACCTTTTTCCTTCGAGAATCAATATAAAATTTCAGGCTGTCTTTGGAACGCTTCCCTTTATCTTGTTATAGATTTTTGTCTCCAGGTGAGCTTATTGCAGCATTTTACTCAAAAGAAACTTGGTGGCATATTGCTGTTTGAAACCAGTATCAAATTTCCAAGTAACAGTTAACAGCTTTGGGAGCAGAGAGAAACAATCTTTTAGGTCAACAGCACGAACCCCCCAAATGACAGAGAGTAGGAAAGAGAACACTGCAGAACATTAGCACAAAGAGGGCAAACGGCACGTACAAACAGGGATAAAGGAAAAAGGGAAAACTATATAAATCGTTTTTCCACAGGATTTCTAACAAGACAACGGCGCCATCTGTCTGCACCTCTGTGCAGGGAAGGTACACAGCTTGCTCTAAGTGGTGAGCTACTATTCCGTGTGCAGACTTCTCACTTTTGCCAGTTCGCACATTCACATTTCTAAGCAAGAATACTGGCGAATTTCTGCGTTTTGTGAGAAGATACCATCCATAAGTACTTACTATGCAGAGAAGTCTTACCTGCTACCAAGGATTGGCTCCCCAGAGGCTCCCAAAGCAGAATAGTCCATACCATAGAAATTCAGCCCTAGAAGTATTTTATTCCTCCATTTTGAATCAGGATCCAGCACTTGAACACAGGCTCGTACCCACGGAAGAGGGGAATTTGGGCCAGGTCTGTTAAGTTGGGAGAAAAAAAAAAAATCAACCAGGTTGCCAGAAAAAGTACATGTTCGTTGTCAGCCTTCTCTTTTTGACCAGAGTAATTGTAAAGAGCAAACCACGGCACACAACAACCAGTGCACGTTAATCTACAATCCTATGAAGGTTAAATGCACGTTCTTTGGTGCCTTCAAGTACTGATGCACAAACCAAGCTCACCCTGCTCCTGACTTTGTGATTCATTTCCCAGGTGAAAGGACACAAAACTTGTTACAGCGGGTAGGAAAACGTTTCCATCTAGCCCACTTTCTCTGTTACTGGGCCTGGAACAACACTCGCATCATAATTCAAAACTCTCTATGACTTCAGTTGTTTTCCAATATCACGCTCTGTGATTTACTCTAAACTGGCACAACATACTGGGACAAAATTCGCCATTTACTTACAGAAAGAACTATAAAATCAGTGACTGGTAAGCAAGACAAGGTTTCAATGATTGCTTAAACACTTATTTATGGATATAACCCTAAATAGGCAATTACCTAACAACAAGCTACATTAAGAAAAAGAGAAGAGCCTTAATACCCAGGGTAACTGACTTGACATACACAGAGTATCAGGATATCATGCTCATTCCATCCTTGTCTCATCAGAGAGGAGAGCAGGCTTTATCTCAAACACATAACAAAAGGCACTCACTACCATGATAAAAGGAAAAGTATATTCTAGTCTTACAAATATCCACATCTTCTACTCCCTACTAATTACCTGCCTCAAAGATTTTGGGTTATCTGTGCCATTAAAACTCAATGTCATACTACAGTACAAGAACGCTGCTGGAATATTTAAAGGCAAAAAAAAAGGTGAGAAAATATCTATTATACTGCATTTCATATACTGAGACCAATCAAAGCAAACTCAAGCGAAAACGATTTAAATTCTTCTTAATCATATCCTTTCTCAGACAAAAAGCACGACATCTCAGAACCTACATTTATTTCAAACACAATGGGTGTCAACTGAAGAATGCCTCACTCCCCAAGCGAAAAAAGATTAGCAGCTCCAAGTCAGGGCTAAGTAACTTAAAGTACCAGTGAGAGACTGAAGACGTCTGTACCACAACACAACCTGTGATTTTAACAGGGCATAAAGCGTGGCACAGCTTTGCCTCACAGGAAAGGTGCAGCCTCCGTCACAGTGTTTCAAAAATGCCTTCAGGGTTCCAGATGGATTTGTGGAGCCTGCACAAAAGCCCTCGGCACCTCACCCTCCGAGAGGTCAGATCGACCTAGAGGAAAGCGAAACCAGATACATCCGTGCTGCACATCCCAGCAGGAGAGAAACACAAACCTGTTTGAACCTGAGCACACATCACTGCCAGGCTGTTCTCCACTAGGGCTCTAGGCTCAAGAAGAGATAGGAAGGAGGCATATAAATTCTGTTCAGGAGAGACAACCTGTTACATCTGTCTAGACATTATCAAAATGCTAATATACGGCAGGTGACAAAGGTTTTAGTGATGTAATGAACACAAAAATGATGGCATTTCCAAGTCTGTCAGTTTATCACAAACAACAACTCCAGACAATGGCCTTGAAGCAAGGATATACACAATCTCCCAGGACTTCCAAAAGTCTATCCTCACCTGCACTCTGGAGGCAAAACAAACCATGATTTTGGAGAACAGCAACATAAAGAGTCTCTGTAGAGTTTAAGGATTTCTGAACTCCATTGCTGGTCCACTTTCACACAGATAGAAATATTAAATTCCTGAAAATTAACATTCATGTACAAACTGGAGATTTGTGCTATTTTCCAGTTAGATCAGCTCCTTGATCTGCTTTCATGAACTGCTGCACAAGCAGCTGCATCAGTACAAGGGAGGGACTAGTGGAAGAACAGAAACACATATTCAAGTATGTCTGCATCAGCAGTGCGGCCAAAGTGCCCTCTGCTGCCACAGGATGAAGCAACTGAATTGTCAACTGTGCTTTAAAATTAAATTTTTAGACAATGACATGTACTATTTTATTTGTGTACCTATCTTGTGCTAGGTAACTAAAACCAAAAGAACCTAGGCTAGAAAAGAATAAATGTCACAGGACCAGTAAAAGGATGATTTTTGAGTACAGAACCTTTCACAATAGCTGGGTGCCAAATATACACTGTTGTTAAAGTCCTGAGTCACTGGCTTGTTCAAAAATCACCTCTTCTAATTATTAACCCAAAACTTCAGCAGCTGATACAGCTGCACACTACTAAAAAGAAGGAACTCATACTGCAGATTTAATAGTGCTTTAACTGGGAGTCAGTTCCCTCAGCAAGCTGCTTCTCCTGTTAGATGGAGTCTTACCGCTGGGGTGTTGAATAGTCGTATGTCATGAGACTGAAGCCGTCTATTGCTGAGGCCAACTGATCAAATTCTTTCTTTGTGAACAGTCCAGGCAGGTCAGTCCTTTTAAAACAAAGCAAAACAAACACACCAGGAAGACATACATTACTACAATAACTCTCTCCTTCAGATTTCAGACCATCTGATACCTCATTCTGAAGTGGGGGAAAAAAATAAATAAATAAATTTTAAAAAATCAGTGCCATTCTTATAACAAACACCTCGGAAAAAATAAAAATTCAGTGCTACTTATGTTGCCAGTGGGAAGAATTAGACTTTCACAGCATACTTACCAAATAAGCATTTCCAGGATGGCTACAACAGTGATCTTAAGGGCTGCGGACTAATCAAATTGCGTTAGATAGCAATCAACTGAACTCGGACAAGCTTTTATTGAACCTTTAATTGCTTGGCCTGTCAAACTGGTTTTGATACTTCTAGAACTAAGATACCTGAGCCATACTTATACAAATGGATGGTTACAGCCGTCGATATAAAAACCCATAAACCAAATGTATTTTTTTATTAATCTCAAAAAGAATGATTATTTCAGCTTATACTGTACTGAAGAAATTTTCTCTCAGTGGTGAAAGACACTTTAGTTTCTTTTAATTTCTTTTTAAAAAACCTCCTAGGAAGCAGAAGGCTAATACAACTGCTTGCTTTTAGCAAAAGGCTATACAAACCTCTTTTCTTCAGACAAAACCATATCCATTTCTTCTTTTAGGGGGCAAGAAGAAATCCGTTCTGTGACCTTCTCTAGACAGAAGTCTAGTTAGGCCTTTCGCATATCTTTGTACGAAATATCAAACACAGCTCTTCCATCTTTTTTTCTTTTTGCTTATTCTTGATTAACAAAATCTAGCACTGGGTTAATATCTACCTTAGGTTCATGGCTGAGGCAGGGGATTTTTGACAGTTTTGGACTCCTATTGACTACTGACTTCCCCCAACCATTCAACCCAGAAATAATTAATGCACATAAGTTGCCTGAAAACACTGCGTTTGTTTCAAAGAGAATGTGTAACACTGAACTAGCAGCACACGTAGCCCAGCAGGGAACGTGAAGCAGCCTTGAACACTGCAAAGGTGGGACCGAACTAAAAAGGAAAAGCTGCTGCCAGGAGAACCGTGTCCTCAGCCAGAGGAGACAGACAGTGAGAGAAGGAGCATATTGTCCTAAATAGCCTGGGAGAGCAGGGTTCACAGGGGAACATCGTAAAAGAAAATAAGAAAAAAAATAAAAGATGGTTTAACAGCTAAAAAATCTGCAGTGTGACTGCCGTTTGAGAGGCAGAGGACTGTACAAGATTGCTCCAGAGAGTAGGGGAGAGAGAGTAAAGAACTTAGACCTTCCCAGTAATATCAGAAACTGCTACTCGATCTAGAAATTAGTAGGCAACCCCTGTCCAGACATGGTACGCATTAAACACACTCACTATCTATCTTAAATGTAAAACCAAGAAAGATATCCCAGTGACTGATGCGAGCAATAAACCGAAAAATTGCTTATTTTGGCCCTTAACACTTTTGGATCCATCCAACAAAACGCACCGTGTGGATCACCAGAGCACAAGAGCACTCGTTTACAGGGACAGTTCCTGTTCTCTCCCATTAGGAAAGAGGTTACCAAGTGGGTTACAAAGTCCAGGTTACAACGTGAGGCATATTAAGTCATTTAACATGTCTGTGATAACACCACAGAATCATTTAAGTTGGAAAAGATCTTTAAGATCATGAAGTCCAGCTGTTAACCCAGTGCTGCCAGTTCCACCCCCGAACCCTGTCCCTGAGCACCACATCTACACAGCTTTGAAATCCCTCCAGGGCTGGGGACTCCACCACCGCCCCGGGCAGCCCGTGCCAGGCCTTGACAGTCCTTTCAGTGAAGAAATTCTACCTTATACCCAATCTAAACCTTCCCTGATGCAACTCAAGGCCATTTCCTCCTGTCCTAATGCTTATCACCTGAGAGAAGAGACCGACCGCACCTCGCTACAACCTCCTGTCAGGGAGATGAGGTCTCCTGTATCACATTATCAGGGAGCAAAGCACAAATGCTATTTGCAAGTCAGGTCATCGAACTCGACCAAACATCCACCGGGTTATGCAGCTGCAATGCATGAAGCACAGTGGTGGTCTGCAAGTCCCAAATTTTGCTTCTTGAACTTACCGGTCGACCTCAGTTTTTTGGATAGTTACCTTCTTGTCACCCACCGCAACTGCAAACTACCGCTGTTTTACAAGAATAAAGCAAGCGAAAGACATCTTTGAAACAATGTCATAGCAACTTGGATGTCTGTAGGCAAAGCAATTCCCCAACGCAAGCTCCAGCAAAACACATTTTCAGTAAATTGATTGTGATTACTCATGAAGGGAAAAGTATAAAAAGTAATTATAATGTGTATTAGATATTAGGGCAAGTTGAATTGCTTTACAGATTAAGCTGGGTAGTACTTTAATGAAATTTCTATATGTAACTTGCCCTCTACATTCATTTTTCATATATTCTGTCAAGAAATATGAAGGGAGGAAAAAAAAAGCAGCTTCTAACTGAACTACTTCTACTAAAAATGAGTGCCATCTGAGGAGCAAGGTCATAAATTTCCAACTTGGAACAAACCCAGCGGCAATGAATATGTTTCGTCCCTTCATGGGCAGTGTTAAAACACCACCACTTTTCACAAAAAACACGCCCTGCGCCCCAGCTCGTTGGGCACCACCAGCCAGCTCGGCTCTAGCCATGCACTTTGGGAAACTGTCCACTGGAGCAAAACCAACACTATTTGATTCATGCCCTGAGAACTGTTCGCAGTCATGAAAATCAGCACTCAGGGCTAAAAAAATAAATATTTTTCAACAGCCATTACGCTTCTCATTTGAGGTTTTCTAATCATCCTGATATTTAATTGCAAAGGTAACTCAAGGGCAGGTATGTTCTACCGACTACACTGTTGAGAAAACCAGCCCAGAGAGTCGAGACTTGGCACAGAATACACAAAGTCCAGGAGAATAAAACTTGCAAAGCCTTCGCCAAAAAGCCCGTCATTTCTAAGCCTTGAATGCAGTTTTCCAAAATATTCAGTGAAGTGGCAGAAACTTCATCACCACTTATCAGCACTGTACAATATACATGCTAAAACCAGCTTGTTATTGTCAGATGACTGATAAGCTGGTGGTTTTATCTGTTCACTATCAACAGCACAAACGTGAAGGAGCAGAAGTCAGGTGTGTGACCATGAGTAATAGGAAAAGCAAATGATTTAATATATCTGAAAAGGCTCTTTGCAGAGAATTAACCCTGACATTTGAACTGCTTCATTTGTTTTATCTTCGAGTTCACCGTAAGTCGCAGTTCAAAAATTACATCTCATTTGGAGTCTAACAAATGTACATGTTAAAAGAGTGAAGTGGAACACTAAATACAAGAGAAATCTGCTGTTTAAAGAAACCAGCTTCCAGTGGCCTAAAAAAATACTGAAAGTACGCAACATGCACTATAAATATGGAACAATTTCGGTTCAAGAAGTAAATTTAAGCAGAAAATGGTGTTCTTTTTATGATAGCTTACACTAAATCCTTTTTATTGCTGTTCTAAGAACCAGACACCTCATATGATATTTGCATTTGGTTTTTTCTAACTCAATACCTTAAGCAAATGTCATTCACTTTCCTTAACATTCATCTCAAATGCAGTAGTGTTCTTCCACGATTCTTCTATCACTGTTCAACATGGTCAACTCTGAAACTTATTAAATGCTAGCAAAAACCCCAACTATTCAGCTTTGGAAAAAGCCATCTCATCTTGGCAAGATTTGCATCTATATGGACTGTAAAAGTTGCTCCATGAGGAGAAATTCATCGCAGAGAGGAAATCGATGGCACTTGAACTGCAGTAAAAACCACTCTGGATATTATATATACAACAAATTATTCGTTTCAGCTGAGGTCTGGATAAACATCCATCATGGTGTGTACAGGATATTATCCCAGGTGCTTGTGCTGGTTGATAGCAGCTCAGTACGAGCCAGCAGCGTGCCCTGGCAGCCAAGAGGGTAAACCCATGGTAGGGGGCATCAAATACCTCCCAGCCAAGAGAGGGGATTGTCCCGCTGTGGTCAGCAGTGGTGCAGCCTCACCTCGAGCACTGAGTGCAGTTCCCTCAGTTTAAGAAGGATGTGAAGGTCCTTAAATGTGTCCAGAGGAGGGCAAAGCTGGTCAGAGGGCTGGAAGGTACGGCCTATGGGGAGAGGCTTCCCATTGCCTGCTCTTAGTCACGCTGGTTGTTACACCAGCAGATGAGGCTGCCTTGCTCAGCTCCAGTGTCTCTCCTGATGTGACGTGTCTTTCCTCTTCAGTCTGCAGAGAGGTGAAGCGGTTCTGCAAGAGCATCCAGGCTCGGGGGAAATCCTCCTTCTGCAAGACTTCCCCTTTGCTTTGGTGAGACCCCATCTCGAATCCTGCGTCCAGTTCTGGTGTCCCCACCATAAGAGGGACGTGGAGCTGTTGGAGCGTGTTCAGAGGAGGCCACAAGGATGATCCAGGGGCTGGAGCAGCTCTGCTACGAGGACAGGCTGCGGGAGCTGGGATTGTTCAGTCTGGAAAAGAGAAGACTCTGGGGGAGCCTAGGAGCTGCCTTCCAGCACCTGAAGGGAACCTACAGGAAGGCTGGGGAGGGACTTTTTACAAGAGTGTCCAGCGATAGGACAAGGGGAAATGGGTTTAAGTTGAAGGAGAATAGATTTAGACTGGACCTTAGGAAGAAATTCTTCAGTACGAGGGCGGCAAGACTTTGGAATAAATTGCCCAGAGACGTTGTGGCTGCCCCCTCCCTGGAGGTGTTCAAGGCCAGGTTGGACGGAGCCTTGAGTAGCCTGATCTAGTTGAGAGGCGTCCCTGGCCGTGACAGGGAGTTTGGACCAGATGATCTCTAAGGTCCCTTCCAGCCTAGGCCAGTCTAGGGTTCTAGGATTCTATGACACTGCCATTGCAAGCTTGCTTCCTTCCACGTTATTGGTCCCCCTCTCTTCTGTGTGTGCCGGTGGGGGAGTTTTTGGCTGTGA